AGTCTTGCATGATTGTGAATATATTCCTTCTTTCATTCCATACCTTTGCATGTATTCGAGCTTGGCTTGAGACTTGTATAGCGATTGGGCCTTGATGCTTCATTAGGCTTACGTGTAATATTTTTAGGCCTCAACAATCTATTGGTTTTGTTTTCCTTTTCCTTCTTCTACCTTGACGAGTAGTAGCCTGGAATTTACTTCGTGGATGGTTTTCTCAAACAAGACACGGTTGAGGATTGGGATGATTTTAACTATGTTTTTTAAATTGGATTTTTTTTTTCTTTTCATTTCATGATAGTTGGACAAGATTGTAGTTTTTTCCCATATTCTTATGAAAAAATGAGAGGGAGGAGGAGAGAACAAAATATGAATTGTTAAATCAATCTATTCATACCTCGTCTTTAAAAAGTTTCAATGTCATACCTCATTTATGAATTTGTTACAATTTCATACCTCCCATCAGTTGTCCGTTAATTCATCTGTTAAATGCTGACATGGCTTGAGACGAGGCCCATTTTCTATTAAAAATTATTAAAATAATAATTTACCCTAAAAAAAAATACCCACACCTTTCCTTGCAACCTAGATCCCTTCCCCTTCCCTGCAACCCCTGACCCCTTCCCCACCCACGCCAACATCTCCACCCGCCACCACCTCATCTGCCCCCGATCCCTTCCCCACCCACGCCAACAGCTCCAACCTTCCCCACATCCTCTCTTCCTCCTCCCTCCAACAGGTCAAACCCCCCATTCGCTTCGCATCTTCCCTGTCGGTCCCCCTCCCCCCCCCCCCCCCCCCAAAACCTTCCTTCCAAGCCCAGAACCCTTTCCCTGCAACCCACCCCTTTCTTCCCCCTCCCGTCTTCCCCAAACCACCGCACACCCATCCTCCACCTCCTCATCCGCACCCACCCTCTTCCCTCCTCTACACACCCCACTCCTTAAATCCACACCTATTCCCCCCATTCAAAACCCCCAGTTCGTCTTCCCTCCACCTCCTTCTCCCTCCCAACCCGAGCCCAACCTACACCGTAGAAGGAAAAAAAAAAAAACATCTTTATTTTCCCCCTAATAAGGTGGGTGCAGGGAAGGGGGTCAGGGAAGAAGGAATTTGGGTTTTTTTTTTTTTTTTCCCAGGTTACAGGTTTGGCTTGAGAGGGGGGAGAGGTTAGAGGTTAGTGAAGTAGGAGGAGGAGGAGGAGGGAAGAAGGAGGGGGAGGGGAGGAGAGCCATGGGAGGGAGGAGGAGATAGAGGAAGAGAGGGCGCAGGGTGTTCTGGTTTTGGAAAGGGGGGACGGATGGGGAAGATGGGAAGCGGGGATGGGTTTCCCCGAGGGGGGGGACGGGGGGTGGGATGGGATCTGGGTTTGGGTTTCTTTCTTTTTTTTTTTTTAATATTTTTGAATATTTAATTAAAATTTTAATAGAAAATGGGTCCCGTCACTTGCCACGTCAGCATTTTAACAGACGAATTGACAGACAACTGACGGAAGGTATGAAATTGTAACAAATTTGTAGATGAGGTATGACACTGAAGCTTTTTAAAGATGAGATATGAAACTATTAATGACCCAACCCAATATTTGAGGTAGTTCTGTGTAATTTACCCAAAAGATAATTATGAAAATTTTAAAATAGAGAATGGTAAAATATTATATATCAAACTTACCACATGGCGAATTTTAACTGGATTATAGTGCTACTTAGCAAAATCCAGTAGCAAGTCAAGCCCTACACAAGTTTTTCTCAAATGAATGAGAAAGAGTTTCTTCTCAATTTACTACGTGGCAGAATTACAAAATTTCATACTTATGATTTGAATCGTTCATATTATAAACACTTCGTAAAGATCATATATGCAAAATATTAATAAAATATGAGATCATTTGATCAACAAACTGTATAAAGACAAATGCATGAATCTGTAAAAGAATTACGAAACATTTATTGCTACTGCTAATTGACTCAATGACTTTATCTTAAATTGATTTTTGGTAAAGATGATCTTTAAAAAGCGATTATAATATAAAAAATTTCGATCATAAGCAGGAAATACTGTGAATCGATTACAAAGTATCTTGAGGAGCAACCTCTCCTCAATCTTAAGGAGTCAAGCCTCTCTTGTTTTATTGAATAAGTTTTCTATTATTCTAGTCTTAGTGTAAAATTGGTAATTCAATACAAGAAAATATGGATTATATGACGATAGAGATTTGTCACACAAATATGGAAATATGTCACATTTAACCATATGTGATGCCTTTTCAGCATCACTAGTTGTGTCACCTATAGTTTACTTGACGAATTTGAAAATCGCCACATGTTTTCGTCACCTCTTTGAAATTTATTGGGTGGTAAACTTTCCTGCACAATTATTTGTGACGAATCTAGAATGTTTATGTGACGAACAAAATTTTGCATCCTACTCAAATCTTTATGCGATGCTTTTTTAATATTTCTCACTTATTTTAACAAAGGGCACAAATAATTCCAACATGTGACATCCCACATCGCCCAGGGAAGTGATCCTTAAATGTATATTCTCATCCGACCTAGCGCGCGAGAGCATTCCCAGGATGGGTGACCCATCGGGAAGTTCTCGTGTGAGTTCCCAAAAACAAAACCGTGAGGGCGTGGTTGGGGCCCAAAGCGGACAATATCGTGCTACGGTGGTGGATCGGGTCCGGGAAGTGGTCTGCCCCGGGCCGGGATGTGACAATTTCTAACGGTTGAGGAGGCTTTTTGGGAACTCACACGAGAACTTCCCGATGGGTCACCCATCCTGGGAATGCTCTCGTGCGCTAGGTAGGATGAGAATATACATTTAAGGATCACTTCCCTGGGCGATGTGGGATGTCACACAACACCTAAGCCCCGTTTTCTTGTATGATTCCTAATAGAACGCTTGAGTCTGTAATGTTTTAAATTAATGCATGTTATTGATTGTAATTATTTTAGGCTAAGGTTGTCTTTTTATTGCTCTTAATCACAAAAATGACAAATCTTTCAGAGACATCGATCCACTTAGATAAATTTGGCATGCATATGCATATAGTCTAAGTTCGCGTGTATTTTGGTGCAAGGATCCGCACAAAGGATTAATCAATCATTTTCCTATATACTAATATACAGAGAAACAATACCGTATTATGTGCGTGATTTATATTATAAAAATATGAGTTAATCTTAGTTTAATACTCTAAAGTTTCTTGGTTTTGCATCAAGTTTTTTTTACGTTCGAGTTTGGTACTTAAAATCATAATTCTAAGACACTTTCATACATCTGTTAAATTTTCCATTAAAACCTCCGTTATTGATGACATGACATCCACGTGGACAATGAGTAGGCACCATGTGTCAATATAGGCCCACAGAAATATTTAAAAATTTTAAAAAATTAAATTAAAAAAAATTAAAATTTCAAAAAGTAAAAGAATAATAAAAAATAAAAAATAAAGCCAATTGAAATATGCAAATCTGGGGAGTATTTAAAGGAGAGGGAGGGATTTGAGGATGTGGCCGGCGGCTTCTTTGGGGTCGAGCACAATGGCCTTTTCAGCGTCGTCCAGGGCCTGCTAGGAGAGGGAGGCGGAGGAGGAGCGTGAGTCAGCGGATTGGGACTGAGCGATGAGCTGAGCGCCGAGGACGATTGCAAATCTGCAAATCTACAAATCTGCAACTCCCATTTTACATACATATATACATAGCTTGCCTGAGAAATGGAAAAATTGGAGGTCGAGATCTGATTCGGAGGCCCTCCATTGGTACGATAGACACGTGGCGTCTAGGTATTGTCTACATGGGCTACATGTCATTAGTTAACAGAGGTTTTGACGAAAAACTTAATAAATGTATGAAAGTGTCACAAAATTATGATTTTAAGTATTAAACAGGAATGAAAAAAACTTGATCTATAAAATATTGGAAACAAAAAAACTTATGGCAGTAAACAAAGAGTAACCTAAGAAATAGTTTATATATTTCAGAACAAATAATAATGATTACACCTAAGATTCTGTACACATTTTTGAATGAGAATCCTTTTCGGATCATTTTTGTGAAATGATCGTTTATTATACATCGCGAGTCAGTTTTTGTCAAATAATGTTGATATTTAATTTTAAATAAAATACTTTACAATAATTTCTAATCGCACAATGTACGATAAACAGACACAATTGTAAGATCTTCGAAATCCTTACAAAAAGTATCCGGAGAGAATCCCCATTCCACATTTTTAATACCGTATTTTGTGAGTGGGTAATATAATAAGAAATATTATACATATTTTAGAACAAATAATAATGATTACATCTAAGTAACCAAATAAGTCTAACCAATCAAACTAATATTATAATTAGTTGGAGAAATACAGCTTGACAAGCTGACTAGATAATGACTTGGACTCTTTAAATATTACTAATAAATAAATAATTGAGGCCGTCCAAAATTTGTATAAATTGTTCGTGAGATCGATTCTCTGACATTAGTACGTTGAAACTGATCAGATCAAGTGATCGAGTTATTGCATATGATATGGAGCTGTTGATATTGATCCTTTCTTCTGTGTTTGTTTGTGTGTGCGTCAACTATGTTATTCGGGTGCTGACGAAAAATGATAACAATGAGCTGCCACCCGCCCCGCCACTGCCACCGGGAAGCGCTGGTTGGCCGATGATTGGTGAAACCCTCGACTATCTAAACACAGCAAGAGATGGTGTCCCAGAAAAGTTCATTGAAGACAGGAAGAAGAAGTACTGTACGTTCCCCGAGGTATGCAAGGTGTTCAAGACATCGTTGTTGCTTGAACCGATGGCGGTGATGTGCACCGCTGCCGGAAACAAATTCCTGTTTTCAAACGAGAACAAACTGGTCAAGTCGTGGTGGCCTAATAACATCGACCAGATCTTTGCCAGCTCTGAGAAAAGCAGCTTCCACGAGATACGTCCGGTTTTGACTAAACACCTCAAGCCTGATTCTCTCCAAAAGTTTATAGGGATCATGGATGCCATCACCAAAGAACATTTGGATACCTACTGGGAGAACCAAAAAGATCAAGTAGTCAAGGTTCACGAAGTTGCTGGCAAGTATACATCTACAATGTCTTTAAGATTCTTCTTCAACATAGAGGATCCGCAAGTCGTTGCAGAACTAGAAGGATTCATTACCCTTATATCTGCCGGCTTCATTTCGCTGCCGATCAATTTTCCGGGCACAAAATTAAACCGAGCCATTGAAGCGTCCCAGAAAATGAGGAAATATGTTGAGAATATGCTAGTTGAGGGGAGGAAGATGAGAACTAGTAGTCCAGCTGGTGATGCACGAGGTGGAGATTATGATCTGTGGTCTAGCATGCTCATGCAGACGTCTAGTGTCGATGGCCAACCCATGAAGGACTCGGACATTGCCAACAAGTTGTGCGGTCTTATAATAGCTGGCTACGACAATGTCATTGCTACGTTGGATTCAATCATCATGTATCTATCAGAACTTCCTCATGTTTATGATGCCGTCCTCAAAGGTACACAATCAGCGAACTAGTTCTTTTTTTTTTTTTTTTTTTTTTTTTTGAATAACCGCAGCGAACCACTTAGGTATGCTAATGTTTTTTTTACTGTATGTACTTGAGATTTCTTCTAATTCGTTAGCTACTAATCCTCATGATCATGAATACACGCACACGCGCGCTCATACATATTGGCATTGATCTAAAAATCCTCACCTAGGCACTAGATGACTGGCCAATGTCCCGATTGATGCCTAGACATTTAAAAATTAAGAAATGACGCTTAGACCTGCTGAGATGCTTGCCTAGGCCACCTAGGCATCAGGCTAGCCTCCTACACCCACCTAGGCACTCGCCTAGGTCGCAACTCATAGATAGACAAGGAGATAACTTTCATTTTGCATTTTATTTTTTTTCAATAAATTATAAGAGACTTGTTGAATACTTAGATGAACATACATTATATGCCTATTCCCCATGTTTTCTCAATACTTCATAATATATATGTCATTCTATTTTGTAGTTTATAATGAAATTATAAATATTTCAAGTATAAGTAGACACTTATTTATAAGAAATATAATAGATTTACTTAAATTTGTCTAGTCTGTCTAGCCAACTAGGGGAATTTTATAGGTTTGATTCTTCTTGATGACAAATTGAAGGAGTCTATATCGTTTTAATTTAACAGAAATGATAACCATAAATATTCTTTTCTTTTTCTATACACTCCACTTTATTTATAGTTACCGAATTAAATAAATTAAATGAAAATAACATAAACAATTAAATATGGTGTGGCAAGAGAGTACAAGGGTGTGTGGTTGTCACTTTCCTAATCTAATTGCCTTAGGGCCAATTAGAAAATTGGTATATAATTAATGTTAAACATCATGTAATTACGTACGTGTTTTGTAACTGAATAACTTGTAGGTGGATAATGGATATATATATATATATAATGGATATTAATGTTGGCAAATTAACTGAAACACTGAAACAGAGCAAATGGAGATTGCAAACTCAAAGGCAGCAGGAGAGCTGCTGAACTGGGGGGACGTACAAAAGATGAAATATACGCGGTGTGTGGTATCTGAAGTGTTGAGGTTGAAGCCACCAGTTCTCGGGACTTTCAGAGAGGCCATTACTGACTTCATCTATGAAGGATATCTAATTCCAAAAGGAATGAAGGTAACGCCAATTAATTACTTTTTAGTTTGTTTTTAATTTATTCCTTTTGCAGAAACTCAACTAATACTAATTAAGACTAAAAACCAAGCTCTCTATAATTCGTTTGGAACTACTTTCAAAATGACTCATAGTGGTTTCTATAAAAAGCAGATAAGTAGTGTTTTTCTAAAAAGCACTTGATGTGTTTTTACGATCCAAAAACAATTTCAACAAAAGTAGTTTCAATTATTTTAAAAATACTTCTAAACAAGCCCTAACATCCACTAATGGAGGTAACGTAAATTAATTACAGCATAGGTATATTATATTAGATGCTGCATTAAGTATATATTTGGCGTAATTCAATTTTGACTTAAAGTTGCATATGTTCATGTAATGCAGTTACACTGGAATGCATATGGGACACACAAAAATCCAGAATATTTCCCTAATCCGGAAAACTTTGATCCGTCGAGGTTCCAAGGGGATGGGCCTGCTCCGTTTTCATATGTTCCTTTCGGAGGAGGGGCTCCAATGTGCCCCGGCAGAGAATACGCACGATTCAAGATATTGGTCTTCATGCATAATTTGGTCACCAGATTCCGGTGGGAGAAGGTTTTTCCTGACGAGAAAATGATAATGGACCCAATTCTTGTTCCTACCAAAGGACTTCCAATTCGGCTCTATCCTCACGCCTCAATTCAACGAACATGATTGCTCCATCAGATTCATACTATCACAGATCATCGTTAATCATTAGTGTTAAATAATTACAACTGGTTTAGTGATGCATCGATGCTTAATTTGACTACATGCTGCTGATGTCGACCCTAGCAATGGCTAGGGTCGGTGGCAATCCCCGTTGAAATGGTACTTGGCATATAGTTTAGGTTGATAATAAAGATAAAGGTCGAAAAATTTGAAGCAAGAACTTTGAATAAAATTGCAGAATGCAGAGAGAGAGAGAGAGAGAGAGAGAGAGAGGAGAAACTGTGTATTTTTGCTTAATGAAATTGAAGAACATTTACAAGGTTATAATACCCTAGCTTGGTCAAAACTCAGATCCTACAAATTAGGGATCAAGGACTCATCTCCAACCATTTAGGCCATCAGAGGCTGCTATCCTTCCACTTAGGAATGGATCGAAAGACAGTACAACTCCAAAGGATAAGAATACTAGTTGTAAAACTTACTAAAAACAGAAAGTAAACTAGTCGTTACATTTTAAAGTCTACCGGCTACTTCTAAATATGGTAAGTTCTTCATTTCCTTCGATTTCAACATTCTCTTCAATTCCAGCTGCAGGATTGTCATATACAGGTTAGATTTCAAGCTAGAATGCAGTTTAATTCTCAGTAGCTTACTGTTGCTTATTGCTTTACTCCAAGCTTCATCCTCAAATAATTGAACATGTTTTCACGCAAGGCCTTTGTAAATATATCTGTAAGTTGTCCTTCACTCCTGCAATATTGGCCTTTGTAAATATATCTGTAAGTTGTCCTTCACTCCTGCAATATTTCACAACAATTGAACATTCCTACAATGCTTCCCTTATAAAGTGGTATTTCCTATTTATGTTCCTTGTTCTTTGATGAAATAAAGGGTTCTTGACCTTGGATATTGCGAACATGTTGTCACAAAATAGTGGAGTTGCATCAGTTTGCATTTCACCAAACAATCTAGAACAAATCTCAACCAAATGGCTTGAGTTGTTGCTCCTGCTGCTGAGACATACTCAGCTTCTGTAGTTGACAATGCAACTGTGTTTTGTTTATTGAGGTTCTTGAAGACACTTCAATTCAAAAACTAAATGCATACCCATATGTGCTTCTACTATCATCTTTGCTTCTAGCCCAATATGAATCACAGAATCCAATTAGGACTGCATCTTTTTCCCTTGCAACTTCAAAGCGATAGCTTAAAGTGCCTTGAATGTATTTGAGGACTTTTTAGCTATTCCCATGTGTTTCTTTGTGGGATCATGCATGAATCTTGATAATAAACTGGCAACAAGCATTATGTCTAGCCTGGTTGCTATCAAGTATAATAGGTTGGCAACAATTCTTCTAAAAAGACCTTCATCGATCAACTCACTCCCATATATCAACTTTCTTTAATTTCTCACATGTATGTAGAGGAATTGATACCAACTACTTCTTAGCTTCATAGGTGTGTTTCTTGGTGTTGAACTTTGACTTGAACTTCTACTGTTACTCATAGAGACATGTTCATCATCAAAGTTTAATTGAGTGAGACTAGGAGAGTCATTACTCTGAGCTTTAAGAGATGATCCTGCAATTTCACTAGCTTCATAATTTTGATTTCCAAGATTGAGTGGTATGGAGATTGTTTCAACCTGCCTGTTCTCCCAATTCTAGGGCTTATCCTCATCAAATATAACACTTCTTGAGAGAACAATCTTCTCAGATTAAAGGTTATAGACCCTGTAACCCTTTTCACAATTGCCATAACCAAGGAAAATTTCCTTGCTTTTTCATCAAGTTTTTGTCAAAGATTATAGGATATGACTGTAGCAAATGCTCCCAAATACTCTTAGGTGTTTTATACCTTGTTTTTTTTTTTTTTTTTTTTTCATGTGAAAGCTTCAAATGGTGTTTTGTCTTTGACTGCAATAGTATAGCACCTGTTCTACAGATACACAACAATGCTAATTGCTTTAGCGCAAAATCTCATAGGGTTTTTCTTCTCAGCAACCATGGACCTTGCCATTTCTCCAGTGGTCTTATTCTTCCTCTTAGCAACACCATTTTGCTGAGGTAAGTAGAAAATAGTTAACTGCATTTCCATACCAATAACACTATAGTAATCAAAGAATTCATGTGAGTGTACTCTCCACCTCTGTCACTCCTTAGTTTCTTCAATTTGAATCCACTTTGTAGTTCAACAAATGCTTTGAACTTTTGAAGACAGTCAACACATCAGACTTGTTTATGAGAAAGTATACCCAACACATTCTTGAATAATCATCAATGAATGTGAAGATGTATTTATTTCCAACTATGGGCTCATTTTGCATCGGACCACACACACCTGTGTCTACAAGATCAAGTGGATTGCTTGGCTTCCAAGATCTCTCCTTCAAATGCCTCTCTGTGACTTTTTCCACAAACACAGCCTTCACATACTTCTTTCTTTTCTAAAAAATCAGGTAATCCAAGCACCATATTGTTTTGCTGCATCATCCTCATGCTTTCAAAGTTTAAATGTCCAAATCTCTTGTGACAAATCCATGGATCTTCTTCTATTGGTACTTTTCTTGCCGTTGAGTTTATAGATTCCATAGACAAAGGAAAGCACATGTTGCCAGTCATAACAACTTTGGCTACAATATTATTAAGATTGTTGTCATCACATATCAAGGCAATATTTCCTCAAACTAGAACATAATATCCATGTTCCATCTTTTGGCCTACACTCAGCAAATTGTCATCTAAACCTGGAACTAGCAACACTTCATTTATGATCTTTTTCCCCTTTTGTTTCAACAACAAGTGTCCTTTTTCCTGTGGCCTGAACAAGATCACCAGTGCCCATTTTCACTTTGCAGGTCACTGAATTGTCAAGATTGATTAGTAAGAATTCTTGAGAAGTCATATGATTGCTGCAAGCACTATCAACAAACCACACATATTTGCTTGGTGCAATTGAAGTTGCATAACAAGCATAGAACATTGTTCCCGTGACAGCTTTTTCCTATTTTGCACAGTTTGCAACTTGTTTACTGTTATCACAATCTTTAGTTAGATGACCAAACCGATTGTACCTACCATGCTTGGGCTTCCCCTTGGATCTGCATACACCAAAGTGATACTTATCACATACTTGACATAATGGTTTCCCATTTCCATGAGTGCCACAAGGTTGCTTGTTGTAAGAAGTGAACTTGTTGTTCCAATTCCTTCCACTAGAGTTGTTCTAACTGTTACCACTACCATTGTTCCAATTGTTACCTTGAGACCAATTTTTCCCTTTTTGTACTGACCCCATTTTTGGTTTGCCTTTCCTTAAGACCTTTTGAAATTTCCTGCAACATTTCCATTTCCTCCAACTTTAAAATTGCTAAATGCTCTCTTAGTACCAGTATATTTGTCTCTTTCATCGTGCAAGTCTCCCCTCTTGTCATAAACCTTAATTGAGGCTAATACTTCTTATATTCTGGTGATGTCAAGATCTTTAGTTTCTTCTATTGTAGACACTATGGACTTGTATCTTCTGCTCAAACTCATTAACAATTTTTGAACAATTCTTTTCTCAAACACATCCTCCTAGTGATTTCAAGTTATTCACTATTTCAAAAAATCGAGCTAAATAATCATCCAAAGCTTCAACATCATTCATTCTTAAATATTCAAAAGTAGCTCTTACCTTTTTTAACTCATATAAACTCTCTCCTCAAGATGTTTTAGCTTTTTTGCTGTTTTCTCATTCCTGATATGAGGGAAAAGTTCATCTGAAATTGCTCCTTGAATGAGGCTTAGAGTATTGGCATTTTTTGTTATATCTTCATTTGAGACAACAGGAGCTTCAACTCGAATGTGCTCAGTTTCGCTTTCTTCTTCCTCCTTAGAGTCTTCTTCTCTAAGAATTTGCTGCTTAAAGATGCCAACTTCAACCACATCCCATAGATCATAAGCTATGAGGATGGTTTCCATTTTGACAACTCAAAAATCGTAGTTTGAGACGTTAAACTATGGTGCTCGTAAATCACCACCAAGGGAACTTAATCTGGCCATTTTGTTAGGTAACGCAACACAGAGACAATGATAAAGGAACCACCTTTAATCCTTTATAGGTTTTTGATTTTTCAAAAAGAAAAACTCATAGTGCCCCTTCTTAGGAATCAGACCTAGAGCTCTAATACCATGTTGAAATGGTACCAGGCATATAGTTTATGTTGATAATAAAGGTAAAGGTTGAAACTTTGAAGCAAGAACTGTGAATAAAATTGCAGAAATGCAGAATGCAGAGACAGGAGAAACTGTGTATCGTTGCTTAATGAAATCAAAGAACATTTACAAGGTTATAATACCCTGGGTTGGTTAAAACTCAAATCCAACAAATTAAGGATCAATGACTCATCTCCAGCCATTCAGGCCATCAGAGGCTGCAATCCTTCCACTTGGGAATGGATCGAAGTTTTCCTTCAGACTTCCTTCAACCCTTAAGTCAGGGAAAGCTTATTTAGAACCCAGAAAACTCAGAGTATCCAACTTAGAACATGCTAAAATGATGAACTTCTAGCTTCCACACCATGCCTCACTTGAGAAAGCCATTATTTGCTTAATCATGCTATCTTCGAGTCATTGATCTAACCGAGATATTTCTTAAGATGTGGTAATGCTTTCAAGATATTTAGGGACTTGGTACATAATCGAACCAAGGAAGACAAGAAGACATTCTCAAAGCTCAAGTCCACATCGACCAAAAAGTTCCCCAACAACCCTAGTGACAATTTTCCAAGTTCGTTCAAAAGTGAATTAATCATCTTGCTGGGTCGATCAATCCTAATCTTATTAGTAATAATTTCATCATTCAAACCATTAATTCTTAGTGCCCACTTCTCATGTCTTTTCCAATTAGTCAACTTGCATTCTATATGTTTCTTTCTTTCCACACTACACTGGTCATTGGTATGGTGTCTAACATTCTAAAAGTTCCAACCTTTAAGTCAAGTGGCTCTACTTTTGGTTTTT